GGTCGTCTGTTACGTACATCATCATCAGAGAGATATATGTTTTGTTATATTGAAGGGTTGTGATGGGTCAATACTAATCAAGCACGATGTGAATGATGACGAGAGATTTGCTGGGGGTAACGCTGGTCTTGGAGGTTTTGATGTCATAGATGAAGCCAAATCAGAACTCGAACGTGTTTGTCCGGGCGTTGTGTCTTGCGCGGACATCGTGACTCTTGCTGCTAGAGACGCTGTTGTTGAGGTAACACTCTAATAGTTTCAACCAAAAAAAATGAATACTTTCGAAAAGATTTTGCGAAGATTATGAGTAAAGGACAATTTACAATGATGACTTGTAAACTTCTTTGCATCAATTAAGGAACTAATTGTCATGTTTCAACTCTCTTTTCTTCCTTGCCGCATTCACGCAAAACTGCATTATATACATTCATTTTATGTGTTACCAAAGTAGAAAACTCTGATATGGAAGATTATTTAACAGGCAAAAGGACCTTTTTACGAGGTTCCAACTGGTCGAAGAGATGGTTTGATTGCAAATATGCGTAACGCTGCGAACTTGCCAGATGTTGAAGATTCCGTAAACACTTTGAAATCCAAATTCAGAGAAAAAGGGCTTTCGGATAAAGATCTTGTACTTCTTAGTGCTGGTAATTTTATCATAATCTCGACAAGCACTCGAGTAAATATACTCTTGTTAATCTAATTTTATTTCCATTTGAAGGTGCACATACTATCGGTACAACAGCGTGTTTCTTCGTCATGCCACGTTTAGATGCTCAAGATCCAACGATAAATCCAGAATTTTTTAAAGTGTTAAGGTCAAAATGTCCACAAGGTGGTGATGTTAATGTCAGGATTCCGTTGGATTGGGAAAGCCAGTTCGTGTTCGACGACCAAATCTTTCGGAACATAAAAAATGGCAAAGGAGTCATTCTATCGGACTCTGTTTTGTATCAAAACAATGATATGAAAAAGATAATTGATTCGTATTTGGCAAATAACCGGAGTCTGAAGGCTAATTTTGCTGCGGATTTCGCAAAAGCCATGGTAAAGATGAGTGCCATTGGGGTGAAGGTTGGTGTTCAAGGACAGATCAGACGCATATGTAGTGCTACAAATTAGTTTTGATAAATAAAAACTCATATACAGTTAACTATTCAGAATAAGAAATAAAATTGAGTTATTAAATCATATATACAATTAGTTAGGAATATCTTTTTTGAAAGCATTATACATAGTATATTGTCTTGCTCCATTTCCACGATTGTGTATGGAGTCTAGACTCCATGTACCTTCCTCTATGTATCATCTTATCCATGGATTCTTGTCTCTTTCCTCTTAATGCACAAAGAACTTTCCTTATTGAAAAGCATTGACAAATCAACATTGTCAAAATCTAGGAGATGAACGAGTTGATAATGTTTCTTTGAAAGCCAAAAACTCTAGCTAGGTAGCCGAGTAAAGTCATTCTTAAAGAATCTGCCAAAGAGATTCTTAAAGAATCTGCCAAAAA